AAGGCTGTTCTAAGTAACCCTGGCTAAATCTCCTTAATCCAAGAAGGCTTTAAACCTGCCGTCCATCTTCTTCTTCTCCAACTTATACACACACATCTTTCTTAACCCCCTTCCCTTTCTGTACTGTAAATCAAAGTCTCTGCTTCGTGATGGTATCCGATCAGCCCACAGTCCTTTACCTACAACTCCACACCCAACCTTGTTCCCAGGCTGTTAGGCTATTACGAAGGAATGCTGTGTTTGTCAGTCTTGAGATGTGGCCTTGATGCTCTTCTTACACAATGAGTACTACAAAACCCTTCTCCCCGTCAGGGAACCAAGGCGACCTGTAGCCCTGACAGGTTTCAGAGTTGTGAGACATCAGTATGAAAGAGTGCAGCTGACTCATTGGAAGAACGATTCAAAAACTAGGGGCATGTTTTCAAAGCATCAAGAATGAATGAATGAGTGAGTGAGTGAATGAATGAATGAATAAGAAGGAGCAATAAAGAGAAATAGAGGCTGGAGACCTTGTAGAATTATAGGAGCCTGACAGAAAAGCCTTATCCTTAGCTCTGCCTGAAAGACCCCAAAGAGAGGCAGGAGGCAAGGATGCCCAGGCAGGGAAGTGGACCACCTTGGGCCCACTGCGGAGAAGACCGTGCCCTCCAGACTTTGGATCAGGGCTGTTTAAGGGAAGTCGCAAGAGATGGGCAGGCTTATGGGGAGAGTGTGGTTATTCAGAAGATGCTTCTGTACAATTGTCTAAATGACTAGGGCCATTTTCCTATTCTGCAGATTACTGTGGAGGTACTTTGATTTGGATTCCTGCATTGAGCAGGGGGCTCGGCTGGATGGCCTTATTCGAGGCCTCTTACACAAGAATGAATGAATGAGTGAGTGAGTGAATGAATGAATGAATAAGAAGGAGCAATAAAGAGAAATAGAGGCTGGAGACCTTGTAGAATTATAGGAGCCTGACAGAAAAGCCTTATCCCAAAGAGAGGCAGGAGGCAAGGATGCCCAGGCAGGGAAGTGGACCACCTTAGGCCCACTGCGGAGAAGGCCGTGCCCTCTTACGTTATTCTGTGATGCTATGACATAGACATGGTAGCCCATCAAGACTAGCAGTGATGTCCACCAACCTCTGAGATGCATCAGCTTAATGGTCAAAATAAGGAGATTCTCTTAACACGGCTTGAGACGGGATCCCAGCTGGGAAAACTCCTCCAGCCGCAGGGCTGCTCTGCGGAGGTCTCTTAAGACACCCAGAAAAGCAGCCTTACTTGTTGCTCATCTGAGATGTGGGACAGACATGGCTGGGACTCCGATCCTCAGTACCTCCAGGTCTCTGTCAGACAACCCAGGATGGCTCAGGCCTTCAGACCCAGCTTCATCCTCTCATAGACATTCTTAATTTTCCTAGCTTGTTTTCCACTCAAGGGCTGGAGATGGTCAGTTCATGGCTTTGTGGATGCCTTGGTAGGAAAGGCTACCATGTTCTGGACACCAGTAGGAAGAGCAGAAGGAATGAGCCACAGTGACCTTCCTGTCTGAGCAGAGGCTCAACAAAGCCAGTTTCCAATCTGTCATGTTTTCTCCCAGCTGGTGCCAGTCCTTTGTGTCTTTTAAATGCCTGGGGGGGGGAATCTGCCTCTCTTTAAGTGTTCTCCATCCTTCCCTGTGTTGCAAGGAGAACACGAGGTTCTTCAGATGTTTGGGGTTCCATTTCTGACACGAACTTTCCCATTTCCTTTTTTTTCTTCCAGCGGGCAATGCCTGGAAAATGGGCAAGAAGGAGAACCCCCATTTGGTGGAAAGAGACAGTCGTACAACTAGCAAAGCAAAGCAAAACAAGAGGAATAAATCCATTTTCCCTGGAAGCAGTGGCTACTCTGACGTCACGGACCTGGCCGAAGGGGTTAAAAGAAAAGAAGGGGATCTGTGCATTGTGGCTGAAACATGTTTCGGTTCTGAAGCAAAGCTGAAAGTTCATTGCAATGTCAACAAAGAGGAAAAAGCTTACAAGTGTCTGGAGTGTGAAAGGAGCTTCCGCCTGAAAGAGAATCTCAGGAGACACGAAAGAACTCACACAGGGGAGAAACCGTACAAATGTTTGGAGTGTGGGAAGAATTTTACTCGCAGTTCATATCTCATTGTTCATCAAAGAATCCACACAGGAGAGAAACCGCATGTATGCTTGAAGTGTGGGAAGAAATTTACCCAGAGTTCCCACCTGATAATCCATCAAAAAACTCATGCAGAAGGGAAGCCCCATAAGTGCTTACAGTGCGGAAACAGCTACCGAAGGAACGCAACTCTTCTCTTGCACCAAAAAAAGCACACAACGGAGACGCCCTATGAATGTCTGGATTGTGGAAAGACCTTCAACATAAAGACAAGCCTCAGGAGACATCAGAGGACTCACACAGGAGAAAAACCATACAGATGTTTGGCGTGCGGGAAGAGCTTTCAGGACAACACAGCTCTGACTGCGCATCAAAGAAGCCACACCGGAGAGAAACCCTATAAATGCCTAGATTGTGGGAAGAGCTTTGGCTTAAAGAGAAACTTGAGGAGGCATCAGAGAACTCACACCGGAGAGAAACCGTATACATGCTGGGAGTGCGGAAAGGGCTTCCAGGAGAGCGCAAGTCTCACTTGCCATCAAAGAAGCCACACCGGAGAGAAACCCTACAAATGCTGGGAGTGTGGAAAGTACTTCAGTTTGAAGAAAAGCCTGAGGAGACACCAAAAAACTCATACAGGCGAAAAGCCATATGTCTGCTGGGAGTGTGGGAGACGTTTCAGTTTGAAGAAGTATTTCAGGAGTCATCAAAAAATCCACACCGGGGAGAAACCGTATGAATGCTTGGAGTGTGGAAAGAGCTTCAGCTGCAGCAGTAACCTCAGGCAGCATCAAAGAATTCACACGGGGATAAAGCCGTACCAGTGCGCGGCGTGCGGAAGCAGCTTTGGCAGAAAGACCAGCCTCAGCCGGCATCGGTGGGTTCACGCTGGGGAGAAACCCTGCCGGTGCTCGGAGTGCGGAAAGAACTTCAGCACCAACACAAACCTCAGCAGGCATCAGAAGAACACACATGAGAGGAGAGGAATCTGAGGGCCTCAAACAGGGAAGGAGCCTTGCTTAGCCCTCGCACCTCATCCGTGATCAGCAGCAGAGAAATCGGACACAGATGTTGGTGTGGGGAGAGAGCTTTCGTGAGTCGAACCCGCAGCGAACAGAGAAGGCTACTGAGCTCCTTTGAAACTGGGAAGAGTTTCAACACAAACACATGCCTTGCTTCTCGTCAAAAAAATGTTTGAAAGGGAAGTAACCATGGGGTGGGTTGAAATGTTGAAACTATTTTTTAAAAAATAAACAACACCTCAAGGCTGTCTGGAAAGTGTTTGCAAGAAACACACTCACTGTGGTGCTGGGGATATGCCCCAAACCAATAATTAGTAACAACATTTACATGCAGGATGTATTAAACAGATTATAAAAAATAAAATAATACAGGCCAGCAGCCTTAGCCAATCTTGATCTTGAAGTTTACGGTTGTCCTGGAATGAGTGTGCTAATTTTGCTGATGGGACTGCCAAATTTCTCTTTTTTTCCCTTGGGCGTTGGTCCCCTGAGGACTGCTTAGTCCTACTGCAGAATCAATCAGGTAGAGATTGTCTGTATTCTACAGACAAAATACATACAATCATAGATGGTGGGAGTGGAAAAGACTCAAGGGTCATCTAGCACAGCTTAGGGCTGATGCCACGAAATCCACCATCCTGACAGATGACTTTCCATTCTCTGTTGAAAAGTCTCCAGTTCACTATTTTCCATCCCATCCTCAGGACTAGCAGGGTTGAGTCCTGGGACTTTCTGATTAACAGGCACTAGGTATGCCAGCAAGGGACTACAGTTTCTATCATCACACTTATTGGGAGACAGTCTGCCAGAAGCAGCAAAGTCCTGCAAGCTATTTCTTTTGTGATGCAAAGCTTTTGAGTATACAGTGGTGCCTTGCATAACGAGCACACCGTTTAACAATGAATCCGCATAGCGATGTGGATTTTGCGATCGCATACCGATGTTTTAATAGGGCGAAAATCGCTTTGCGATGATCGGTAAGCATTTCGCTTACCAATCTTCGCATTGCGATGGGGGAACAGCTGTTCGGCAGTTCCAAAATGGCCGCCGGAACACCCAAAATGGCCACTGGAACACCCAAAATGGCCGCTGGAACACCCAAAACAGCCGCGCGCAGCGTTTTCACGCCTTGCGTGAAAATGGCGGCCGGATGGGGAAACATCGCAGAATGGTGAGTTTTGGGCCCATTTGGAACCCATCAAATGGGCTTTTCCGTTCTGTTTAGCGATGTTTCCCCATAGCGAAGGTTAATCCGGAACGGATTAACCTCGCTATGCGGGGCACCACTGTATAGTCTTGACTAGGCAGTTAAGAGCTGTTAGCTTTACAAAAGACCTGCTCCTTATTTGTTGTTATGAACCTCTCCAGCAGCCTGTGTCTCAGGTTTCTCCTTCAGAAGGGGCCCGAGCACAGGGGCGGTCATGAGGACCACCTGCATATTTGCTATTCACCATGTTGGGACCCACTTAGATACCTTGTGATGGCTGCTTTGCCACCTCTCAGTGTTTTCTTTCCTAGTTCAACATCTACCCAGCTCCCTCAACTATTTTGTTTAGTAATGGTTAAGAAGCCCCTTAAGAAAGACAGCTTGCTTAACCTATGATGCCATGAACTGGACTCCGGATTCCAGGTGTCGTTTGAACAAAGCAGAACACTGTGTCCCTGGAATTGCCTTGGCTCTTTTTGCTGCTCCATCACACGGTAGGCTCATGTTGAGCTTGTGGTGAACTGGGACCTCTAAATATACATGTACTACAGCAAAGCCGGGTGCCACACATGATCTTACCTGTAATGCACTAGTCCTAAAGGGTAATGTAAAGGAACTTACTCAGGAGGCGTTGATCGTGAATGTAACTGTTGACTTGGATCTACGCCTTCAGGCACAACGTCCAGGGCTAAAAATTCTTAAAGGATGCAACTTTGAGGGAGAACTGCCCTGATTGTGATAGCACAAAAGTGGTTTTCATTTTAAAAGCAATTTCATTGTTGAGGCTCTTGAATGTACCAATGTTCCATTGGCTCATTATATTATTTTTTATTGATTGATTGATTGATTGATTGATTGATTGATTGATTGATTGATTGTATTTATACCCCGCCTATCTAGTCATTTCGACCACTCTAGGCGGCTTACAACATAAGGATAACAGTTCTAAAAAAATTTATAACAATTAATTACGGTAATTAAATGATTCTATAAGATGGGAAAAATAAAAATAAATCAAATAAAGAGAGAGAAAAAGGAAAGCGGACAGGAATTAACTGGAAGGTAAGGCCTGCCTATACATCCATGTTTTTGGATTTTATTATGCTTCTTTAAATGCCTGTTCTTGTTTTCTACAAAGAAGTGGTGCTTATTTGCAAATACATAAAACTGTTCAGCCTTATGAGGACCTAAGGGTCATCATGATTTAAGCAGATTTCAAACAGGAAGTCCCAGAGGCTCATAGGTTTTGTTTTCGGCTGTAGCCTCAAAAATGTAGACGCCGTTAACAAGCAAGGAAGAGAGATTGTGGGGGAGAAGGAAGACATTTTTAGAAACTGGCTTTCCAAATGACAGAAGACAGTCTAAAGCCATCACCACCTGGGAAAAAACATGAAGTCCAGGAGGACTGATAAATTGATATTCCATCTTCTATCCAATGAGCTCAAAGCGAAGGATGTTGCTTTTCCTTCATGCTTTAGCCTCACAACAGCGTTGTGAGGTACAGCAATGAGGAGGTTGTGTGAAATTGCCCAGTGCCATCCGAGGAGTCTCCTGGCCAAGGCAGGATTTGAACCCAGGAGGCTGGGGAAAATCTCCACAAATAGCTGGGACACGGAAGGAAGGACGAGAGGAATAAATGCAGCATTGCAATGTGTTCTGGAAATGGTTTCTCTGCCTGTTTTACATTATGATTTATGTTTGGGATTGTTTATATTATTATATATGTACATGACTTGTGGTACACCACCCAGATTAGCAATCTGATAGATGGCTGGTATAGAATTAATGGATGGGTGGATGGATCTATCGATCTATCTATCCTAAACTGACTGGCAGTGGTTTTTGAGCAGGGAACCAGCTGGAAGAATATGAATGAAATTCCGAGAATGAAATTGGGAGAGGAGGGCCGAAGCCAACCTGGTAGCTCTTACCAGGAGTTCTGGGGATCAGAGTCCCAGCCGTGTGTTTGGCTCACCTCTTGGACCAGCAACAGGTAAGGCTTCTTTTCTGGGTGGGTTGGTGGCCTCTTAGCCCTGTGGCTGGGGGGGGGGGATGTTTCGGCAGCTGGGGTCCCATCTCGAATCCCATTGGAGAATCCTTCCATTTGGACTGTGAAGCAGATGCTCTTCTGAGGCTGGTGGGCGTCACGGCTACTCTTGACGGGCAGCCATGTCCGTCAGATTAGATGCCTGCCATTTATATATTTAAAATACTTTTATCTCGCCTTTCTCCTTCAAAAAGACTTGAGGCAAGCTTACACTATAAATGTTTTTCTAAAAGCAAAAACAGTAAGTTTCCAAATACAGTGGTGCCTCGCAAGACGAATGCAATTCGTTCCGCGAGTAGCACTGTCTTGCGAAAAGCGGTTTCCCATAGGAATGCATCGCAATGCATTCCTATGGGATCCTTGCAAGATGAATGAATTTTTTCGTCTTGTGAGGCATCGGTCTTGGAAAAAAAAATGTCTTGCGAACCACGGCCATAGAAGAAACTGTTTTGTGAGGCACCATTGCCATCGCAAAAGCCATTCGTCTTGCGGGTTTTCTGTCCCGTGAGGCATTCATCTTGCGAGGCACCACTGTATTTAAAAGAATCAAACGAATACCACACTAAAAATGGTAAACAAAATCGACACCAAGGACAGATACAAAGGAACAAGGCACAAACCTGCATTTTAAAAAACCCTCTCAGGCAGTCAATCAGGAAAAGGTCATTTGCCTGCTCGTGGAAGGACAGCAAAGATGGGCCCAGCCTGGCCTCCAGTGGCAGGGAGTTCCAGAGTCTGGAAGCAGCTACAGAGAAGGCCCTCTCCTGTGTCCCCACCAAATGTACCTGGGAAAGTTGTGGGACCATACTCTTTGCATGGCATATAAGAAACAAGTTTAGATAGAATCACAGAAAATAGGCTCTTGCCAGTACAGTGGTGCCCCGCATAGCGACGTTAATCCATTCCGGATAAATCGTTCCGGAAACGTCGCTATACGGAACTAAAAACCCCATAGGAACGCATTAAACTCCGTTTAATGCGTTCCTATGGGGGATAAACTCACCGCTAAGTGGAAATCCTCCATAGGGCTGCCATTTTTGCCGCCTTGGTAAGCGAGGAATCGGCGCGAAAACGCTGCGGGCGGCCATTTTGTTGATCGGGCGGCCATTTTGGAACCGCCAATCAGCTGTTTTAAAACATTGCAATGCGAAGATCGGTAAGCGAAACGCTTACAGATCATCGCAATGCAATGTTTTGCCTATTTAAACATCGCAATGTGATAGCAAAAGGCGATAGCAAAATCCGCATCGCTATGCAGATTCATCGTTAAACGGGGCGCTTGTTATGCGAGGCACCACTGTACAGGAAATTTACAACACAACCCATCTCCAGCAAATGAGAATCCAGTGAGAATCTATATGGTCCCTTCCACAATTCTAAGATTATTAGATTCTGCTGGCATTTTTTTTTCTTAATACAGTATTCAACTAGAATCTTCTTTCCTGATTTTGAACCTTCTGGCTGTTGACCTCCCATCTTGAGTAGCAGAAAACAACCTTCTTGCATCTGATCACACAGTGCTTCAAATCCTTGAAGACAGTTCTGTAGCCACTTCTGAATGGCTTCTTTTTGAAGGCCTGTGTCGATCTACGTATTTTTATTTCTTTAAAGGCTTTTTTTTTTAAAAAAAAATTGCCTTCTGCCAGCGAGGGATCCCAAATGATTTTTTAAAAAATCCACATTTCTGGCTAAAGCCTTCTTTTTCAGATGCATCCCATTCAGAAGCCACGTTCTGGGGCTGTTTGCATGTGTGGAAAAGATCATCAGCTCCACGGAAACTGCCCAGTTATATTTTTTAAGGCTCAGCTTAAGGAATATAGGTGACAGACGCCTGCTAGGAAAGATTTGGGACATTCATTCAAAAATTTTCTGCATTCTCCACAAGATATTGGTGAAGAAGTGATTTTTAATCATAAAAGCTTACACTGAATGTTTGATCTGCAGTGATTGAAATGAAGGCATCGCCTCTCCATTTTGTGCGCTAGAAATGTTGGTTTCTGAACAGGGGGACCTGCCTGAGAGGATGAGAAAGGGAGGATGATTCTAGTACATTAAACATGTTCTGTTACTGTTACTTTTAACGGCATTTTAGTCACTTTTCCTTTCAGAAAACCATTTCATTCCATTTTCTTGTACTTATTCTTAATTTGGAACCTTTGGACATTTATTTTTAAGGGGGGAGCTGAATGATTAAAAAGTTGGCATTGGGGAGGCACAGAGAGGATGAGAAAGGGAGGATGATTCTAGTACATTAAACATGTTCTGTTACTGTTACTTTTAACGGCATTTTAGTCACTTTTCCTTTCAGAAAACCATTTCATTCCATTTTCTTGTACTTATTCTTAATTTGGAACCTTTGGACATTTATTTTTAAGGGGGGAGCTGAATGATTAAAAAGTTGGCATTGGGGAGGCACAAAGCCTGAAAAATGCAAATAATAATAATAATAATAATAATAATAATAATAATAATAATAATAATAATAATAATAAGAATAAGAATAAGAATAAGAAGAAG